ATGATTGTTCAATACAATACAATGGGAGCTGATGGCTTGTCGCGTCAACATTGCCGCTACCGCCCACTGCGCTCACCAAGGTGATCTGGAAACGCGACCCGCTGCGTGGGTCATCTCTGGGCGTCGTGATTGTTCCAGTGTATGTGTGACCTGCTTTGGCATGCAACTTGTTTAAGGGCCTTTCTTTTTTTCTGTGTATTCTTCAGGCATAAGTGGCTCGGTTCAATGTCCCCACTGCGACTTCCGATGCTGGGGAAAGCAACGTCTGGACGGACACGTGAAGACAAGTCACGGCCACATCGACAGGAGCGGCAGATTCAAGTGCGAGTGGTGTCAATACTCGACCGACAGGTCCAGAAACATGAAACACCACCAAAGGACTCACGCTGGGGAACGGCCGCACCGCTGTGATGTCTGTACGGCACGGTTCACTCAACGGTCACACCTCACGGCACACATGCTGACTCACACTGGAGTGCAGCCGTACGGCTGCTCCATCTGTATGGCGCGGTTCACTAAACGGTCACACCTCAATAGGCACATGCGGACCCACACTGGGGAGCGGCCGTACGGGTGTTCACGTTGCCAAGCCCGTTTCGCGCTACGGGAAAATCTCAGCGAACACATGCTTACCCACACGGGGGAGAGGCCATACGGCTGCTCCATCTGCCCGGCACGGTTCACTAAACGGTCACACCTCAATAGGCACATGCGGACCCACACTGGGGAGCGGCCGTACGGCTGCTCTATCTGCACGGCACGGTTCTCTGAACGGTCCACCCTCACCAGACACGTGCGAACCCACACTGGGGAGCGACCACACGGCTGCTCCATCTGCACGGCACGGTTCTCTAAACGGACAAACCTCAACAACCACATGCGGACCCACACTGGGGAGCGGCCATACGGCTGCTCTATCTGCAAGGCACTGTTCACACACCGGTCACACCTTACCAGACACATGCGGACCCACACTGGGGAGCGGCCGTATGGCTGCTCTATCTGCAAGGCACGATTCCCCGCTCGATCAGGTCTTATCAAACACATGCGGGTCCACACAGGGGAGCGGCCGTACGGCTGTTCACACTGCCAGTCCCGGTTCACTCGACGGGCACATCTCATCACGCACATGCGTACCCACACGGGGGAGCGGCCGTATTGCTGCTCCATCTGCACGGCACGGTTCGCTCAATGGTCCACCCTCGCTGGACACATGCGAACTCATAATGGTTAGCGGCCGTACGGCTGCTCCATTTGCACGGCACGGTTCACTGAACGGTCTACCCTAACAAAACACATGCGCACCCACACGGGAGAACGGCGATACGCCTGCTCGATCTGCAAGGCCCGGTTCACTGAACGGCCCACCTTCACCAGACACGTGCGAACCCACACTGGGGAGCGGCCATACGGGTGCTCCGTTTGCACGGCACGGTTCACTCAACCGTCACGCCCCACTAAACACATGGGGACCCACACGGGGGAGCGGATGTATGGCTGCTGTTACACGATTAGGCAAGGCACGATTCATTGTTCAATCAAGTCTCATCAGACACATGCGGACCGACGAGAAGAGCGGTCCGCATGCGTCCGCAGTCCGCAGTTTTAAAACATTAGGTATACTAAAACCTCTGTAAAACTGTGGTGGTATATGCTGCTTTCCGCGCAACATCTGCGGCACTGTTAAGATACCATCTTTCTTACCGACAGACAGACCATGCTCTTCTTCAGTCCTTGGCGTTGAAGTTTTGCTGCTCTGATGTATGTTGGTTTAACGTTTACTTACCTAAATTTAAAGCTACGTGGGTTTGGTTCGCTGGACTGACATTTCGGCTGGCGAATAGCAATCGGTCCTGTTAAAGACTAGGTCCACTATGTCGATTCGATTGTTTCGGAAAAAAACTTCTACCACATCGTTCAGTAGCCTTTATTTGGACCTTTATCCCTCGCCGGGCCGGGGGATGGGGTGGTCGCCTCCCCCGTCCTCTTTTTCGCAGACATCTAAAAAGCGGCTGTCGGAGAGGCCAGTGTCAGCCAATGTGCAGCTGTGTTTTTTTTTTTTAAGAACGCAATATGATTGGTGAACGCGTAATATCCTCCGCCACGATGTTTGGTCCCAACGGAAGATAGAATATAATTCTTCGTATACCTGTTTTAAGTTAAAAATCATAAACATGTTTTTTAATCGGCATCATTTTTGTCATAAAATAATCATTTATTTGTAGCAAAAAAAAATATATTTGGGAGTGGTATATATCCTTAACCCGCGCGGGGCTGGGGTCTCCAGCCGAACGCGCGGGGCTGGGGGGGGGGGGTAAATTTTACCCCCCTGTTATCTCCCGAACTAATGGTCCGATTTGGAAAATTCAAACGCCAATCGAAAGCCCTCATCACGAACAACTAAAAACATGTACTTAATTTAAAGTTTGAGGTCAAGGTCAAGGTCAGGTCAAGGGTACAAATTGCAAGTTTCTACAGTGTCGACCTTGCACCGTAGTTGCCGAAGAATGGAGTCATGGACTGAGACTGATCGCCCAAAACGCGTTCTTAGGCTACCAAGACAATATTCGTTGCATACAATATCATTCAGAGGTCAAGGTCAAGGTCAGGTCAGGTCAGGTCACCAAAAAACAAAATATAGAAAGGGCATGTGCGACCCATGTTTTATGGGTCATTTTACTCATAGAATTCAATAGGCACACTCAATAAGTGATATGGACCACCTCTGGATGAATTTCAGGTCGAGGTCAGATCAAGGTCAGGTCAAGTGAGGTCAAATTTTGAAGTTGGTCGTTAAGGCCTAAAAAGGTGTCTATCTGATGCAGTTTTTCACGGCGAATCGAATGGTGCTATTTTTGTTTCCGTACGAGGTATAGAACTTCCAAAAAAGTCATTTTTCAAAAATTTTGTGTGTCGTGACGTCATAAAATTTTGAATAACTCCCACATTTTTGAACCGATTCTTCTAAAATTTGGTATGTAGGTGCACATATACCACTTCTCTGACATATATTCCGGTTTTTTCGATAGACTCAAAATTTTGGATTTTATAATCATTTTCCCAAAAAAGTCAGTTTTTTTAGAAAAAAAATTTAGGCCAAAATCCAAAATTTTCAAAAAACCGAGATAGCCATTTGATAGACAAAGTAAAATTACGTATAACCTTTTTTTGTTACGTCTTGATTTTTTAAAAAATGAAGATGTTAGCGGCGTTTGAACTTTTGCCGTTTTTGAGGCGAAAATGGCGAACATGACGTCACTAAAACGTCAATTCCTCGAAAATTTCCCGACGGATTTCGCTCAAATTTTCAGGGAACGTGTCAAATTGATGTAAGAAAAGGTACTGAAAGTTTGGCGGCGCTGCGCGCCGCCGTTTTTTAGATATCGCAAAAATTCGCGAGGGGGGGGGGGTAAAATTTACCCCCCAGCCCCGCGCGGGTTAAAGGACTGCTGAGGGGAACGATTTTGCCTTTTAAAATGGTTTTGAATAGTTGATGGCCGATGGGTAGGGAAGATTGGGGCAGATAGTGTCACGGGGCACATCCTGTCAGCAGGGTTTTCTCGAAAACTATCGAGCGCATTTATGTTGTTGAAGTTAAAAGGTTTGTTTTTGCTTGACAAAGTCCGGTACTATCAATTCAACAACGTGCCGGTGACCAGGCTGTAGTCACTGGCATACCTGTAACGTGTTCGTTTTACATGATGTCATCGTGTGAATTTGCCCTTTTTTATATGAGGTATCCAGTCTCTTTAATTACTTAATTGTTTTGGGATATTGCGTAATATTAAGGATCAGTTTAAAGGGACTGTCCCACCTTTGCATTAGTTCTGAGTTGAGATAGCCAAGTTGGCGGCCAGGTTCAGAAACCACTATATATCCTGGTCGCAATATCCTCAGTTTCGTGGTGTTAAAGAAATTCGTTCCCTTCATTTGAAAAGTGGGCCTTAGCTAAGGCCCTATCTCTTAACTATTAACGGCCATTTGATGACGTCATTTGCATTTTGAACGCCTGTCACGCATGTGAAGTTTCACTTGATTTACGAATAAGCTAATCAGAGACACTTGTTATTGTATGAGCCGCGTCATATTTGAGAGCAAATACCTATATTTGCTGCCAAATTTCCCCCACATTGACATGAAGTAAATCCTTCATTACTCACAGATCCGATCTAAATGACGTCACGCTGAAATATAAAAGTCGCAATATCTAAAAAAGTATACAATGAAAACGCGTAAAAACCTGCAGAATTCGTCACAATATCAAGAGTAACATTTCCGAATCCTAAATGGTACTTTTTTGAAGGTGGGATAGTCCCTTTAACGAAACAAGATTTCAATGTCTAAAACTATCAAATAGATGCGGTTTTTTACTCCCGAAGAAGTTTGCACCATGACGTCAGCATTCTCTCGTGACGCCACTTAGTACATATTTATCGCCTTGCCTGTGGCCATGTTGGATGAAATATAAAAAACTTTGTATTTGCAACGGAAATCCAAACTTTTTGACAAGAACAAAACGCTAGTTCATGACTGTGCAGATAGCGTGATGGTGACATTGAATACCGTGTCGGGTAGTCTTGAATGTCAACATTTTTTTTTTCTGAACATATTGTCCATATTGTCGAAGTTTTCAATGAGAACCACAACATTTTTATTGACATCGAGTGGGGCACATCATGTTACTCAATCCGCAATCTAGCCCATCTGTTCAGCATTGTTGGAATTTATGCAAGCGCTGCATTTTAAGGAGCTGCATCAAAAACCTGGGGGTCTTGAGCCATCCTTGCGTTTGGGGACATTACATTTCATAGGGTGTTGCGGCACCCATGCCTTTGTGGACGTTCAATTTTCATCTGTGTCAGCCAACCGATCTTGTCCATTACGTGTTTATCGCCGTCGCAAGTTTATCGGCTGGTGACTGTTAATTCCACCACCGCTCCTCGACGTCTCTTTACGTCGTGACCGCATATCAGGCATCGGTCAGTACCTTCAGTGGCTCTCAAACTTCTTCGTCCAGATGCGGACGGCAAAGCTGGGGCCCTAATCCTGCTTCACCGACAACTAATGCATCGCTACTAAGGAAGCGATGCATGTCCTTCATTTTTTATATTGAGTATCACCCAGGATGAAATCATTTTTGCCTGATTTTTCATATATGGCCAGAAACATTGTCGACATCCCTCTTCTCTCAATGTGTTTCACAGGTGTTGGTCGCACACTTCAGTGTCCCCACTGCGACGTCAGATGTCTGGGACAACATCTGGACAGACACGTGAAGATAAGTCACGGTCACATCGGCAGGAACGGGAGATTCAAGTGCGAGCGGTGTCAATACTCGACCAACAAGTCCACCCGTATGAAACGCCACCGCATGGCTCACACGGGGGAGCGACCCCACTGCTGCTCTATCTGTACGGCACGGTTTGCTCAGCGGTCCACTCTCACCACACACACGCGGACCCATACCGGAGAACGGCCGTATGCCTGCTCCCTCTGCCATGCACAATTCGCTGACCAGGCGCACCTCATCAGACACAAGCGAACCCACACTGGGGAGAGGCCGTATGGCTGCTCCCTCTGCAAGGCACAATTCAATGAACGGACAAAACTCACCGGGCACATGCGAACCCACACTGGGGAGCGGCCACACAGCTGCTCTATCTGCAAGGCACGGTTCTTTGAACGGTCACATCTTACTGCACACATGCGGACCCACACTGGGGAGCGGCCGTTCGGCTGCTCCATCTGCACGGCACGGTTCACTGAACGGTCTACCCTAACAAAACACATGCGCACCCACACAGGGGAGCGGCCGTACGGCTGCTCAACCTGTGCGGCACGGTTCGCTCAACGGGCATATCTCAACGAACACGTGCGGACCCACACGGGGGAGCGGCCGTACGGCTGCTCACACTGCGAGGCCCGGTTCACTCAACGGTCAAGCCTCAACAAAGACATGCGGTCCCACACGGGGGAGCGGCCGTACGGCTGCTCACACTGCGAGGCCCGGTTCACTCAACGGTCAAGCCTCAACAAACACATGCGGTCCCACACGGGGGAGAGGCCTTTCGGCTGCTCCATCTGCCCGGCACGGTTCTCTCAACGGTCAAGCCTCAACAAACATACGCGTACACACACGGGGGAGCGGCCGTACAGTTGCTCCCGGTGTCAGGCCCGGTTCGCTGAACGAGGAAGTCTCAACAAGCACATGCGGACCCACACGGGGGAGCGGCCGTACGGCTGCTCACACTGCCAGGCCCGGTTTACTCAACGGGCATATCTCTTCAGACACATGCGGACCCACGCGAAGAGCGGCCACACGGCTGCCTCTACATCAGCAACGGTTCGGCAGTTTGACACAAAAAATACGTTTTAAAGTGGTTGGTACACTGGTGAGAATAACAAGCTGTGAGTGACCGAAGCGGTAAATCGTTTGAATGTCGAAACACAGTGCTGAGGCTTCACGACAAGTGCATGACCAGCCCCGTTGTACGTTAGTTATTCGTGTTATAGCTGTGACTCTCGTTTGTGAGCTTCGTGGCTACCAGTGTCATATCTGGTTTGTTTGTACATACTTATCCAGTGTGATTCAGTGGTTGTGTATTTAAAATAGCCGCCCTTACATAGGAGGAAAGGACTGTCGAACTGTCGTTATTTTAAGCGCCGTAGCGCCATTTTTAACCCATTAGTGCCGCTTGGGTCATATATGACCCAAAAGCAAAATCTTAATGTTCCTTCTCAATGGAGGCAAACGGCACTTTGATGAACTTGCGCGTGTGTTTTGTCGATTTTGTGGGTTTAGTGACGAGAGTTGGAGCGGCATAAAACTGGTGTGAGCTCGTCCACTGAAGTTTCTGGAGCCAAAGACGACGGGACTGCACAGCCGCCGGTCACTGGCAATGGTGCGCCGTCCCAAAAAGTAATGTTGTATTATGTTTGCAATTTACTATCTGTTGAATGATCGTCTACCTATTTAAATTTGTCTGAAAAAGTATGATGTGTATTTTTGCCCTTCTTCTCGTCACCGGATAACTTTTGTTCCTCAATAAATATCCTTGGGTCATAAATGACCCAGCCGGCAATAGTGTTATCAATTTACTCAGTATGTTAAATACAATGGAAGCAACTGATGATTATACGATTATTTATTTCTGGGGGTTGTGATCAGATCACAGTGGCGGATCCGAAGGAGGGGATCCGCACATCACATGGGTCACTCATGACCCCCCCCCCTTGGGGCCCGGGGCACCACCGACCTATCAGGAGCACCACAGGCCTGCAGACAGGGGCACCACAAGCCTAGCAAGGGCACCACGGGCCTGTCAGGGGTACCACTGCACAGGCTTGTTAGGGGCACCACAGGCCTGCAGGAGCACCATCGGCCTAGCAAGAGCACCACAGACCTGCCAGAGGCACCAGATGCCTGCCAGGGGCACCATCGGCCTACCAGGGGCACCATCGGCCTCGCAGGGACACCTTGGGCCTGTAAAGGGCTCCACGGGCCTGTTGGGAGCACTTCAGGCTTGTCAGGGGCACCACAGTCATGCCAGGACCCAGGGGCACCAGCGGCCTAGCAGGGGCACCACAGGCCTGCCAGGGGCATCACAGGCCTAGCAATGGCACCGCGGACCTGTCAGGGTCTCAAAAAGCCTGTCAGGGGCACCTCAGGCTTGTCAGGGCCCAGGGGCACCACAGTCCTTCCAGGGACACCATAGGCCTGTCAGGCCTATGGTGTCCCTGACAGTGTCAGGGGCACCAGAAGCCTAGCAGGGGCACCACAGGCCTGCCAGCAGCACCACCAACCTCGCCAATGAGACGTCGCAAAGCATTGCAATGCAGTGCGTCTTAATATTGATTGGCTGGGACCGCCATACAGTAGGTATACACTTATACAGTATGCACAATAAGGTATCTAGATAAATCAGTTTTCGTGATAACTCCCATTTGTGACTATACCAATGGCGGTTGGGTCTTTTATGGCCCATGCCTATAACTTGAGAACCGATGGAACAGTTTTTTAAAGCTTGCACAGTTTTTTTTTTTTTTACTGGGACCCATGTGGCTAACATTTGTTAAGAATAACTTAAGAATCAAAAAGTAAAAATTCCGGCAGTAATGGGTTGAGAGCGTCCGGTTATATCGAAGTAATGCTTCTTTGTACGGCTTTGGCTCCCTCCAGTATTTGCAGCATTCCGCATTATGTGCGCAGTCTTTGTCGACAGGGCGCCGGTCTAACGTAGGTTGGCATGTTGTGTAAATCTTTATACTCTATTCATCCCGTGTACATAAAGGCGGCTACTGTTGCTATGTGCTGTCTGTACCTACAACTTTACAAGCTTGACGGGGTGTTCCTGTCGTGTCGCCTTCGGCAGATTATGTGCCACTAAAGGCATTGTTTGCATTGCTCTATTGAGGGGCATTCCACGTCAAATCGAACAAAAATCGGCTGTTTTGCACCTTACCATCAGCGATTTCATTATAAATTTGTGAGCGAGTTCCTGTGTCGCCCCGGACATTACATTGATGTTTTTTGCACATTCTGACCACAGGTCTTCTAAATATAGAGCATCAAATTTTTAAAAAATGTTGCATCTTTATATTTTTGAACGACCATAACTTTGGTTGTACTTGTTTGATATGAATGAAATAAACCTTACTGTTTAGGTAATTTCCTAAGCATTTGTTTAGAATTGCATCGACTTAAATATATGACCTTGAAATTTGCTTAACTCTGTTCTTAAGCACAGAAATTGAAATAGCAAAAAATATGCCACCTTCGATTTGGCTCATTTTCATATATTTTATTGCCTACCATATTCTTAACAACCTGTGAAAAAATTAGAGTGGGCCATTCATAAGTTTTGAAGAAAATGGCACATATGCAAACGTACCAGCATCTGCGATGCTGGGCTCCGCATCGCGGGACCGCAGGTTGTTTGAGCAAGCACCTCTGTAACGCCGCAAAAACGCCCGCCGCCAAACGAGAGGATGAGCCTTGCACGTGCAGACCGGAGCGGGTGTGCCACGAACTGATGTGCACTGCACTCTACTAACCGGTCTCTAGCGGTTTGCCAAATTTGAGTGCAATCGACTCGGCCGTTTTCGAGATCTGGAAGCGACACCCTGCACGTGCGCACGTGCAACCTGGGTCCCAATTGACTTGTGCACGGCACTCTATTCGCCGGTCTCTAGCGGTGTGCCAAATCTGAGCACAATAGGCCCGCCCGTTCTCGAGATTTGGAAGCGTCGCCCTGCACGTGCGCACGTGCAGTTGCACCCCAATCGTGGCGCATGGAAATACATACTAAATGACTGGTGGACGGCGCCCTACTGATCGGTATCAAGCGGTATGCCAAATTTGAGCACAGTCGGCCCAGCCGTTCTTGAGATCTGGAAGCGTCAGCCTGCACGTGCGCACGTGCCAAATGGGTCCCATCTGACTTGTGCACGGCACCCTACTCGCCGATCCCTAACGGTGTGCCAACTTTGATCACAATCGGCCCAGCCGTTCTCGAGATCTGGAATCGTCACCCTGCCCGTGCGCACGTGCAGCTGCACCCCAACCGTGACACATGGAAATGCATTGCCCGGCGGTTGCCTACATCCATGCCAAGTATCAGCGCAATCGGCAAAATAACTACAGAGTTATTAGACTTGTTACCGAACTGACACCTTATCGTTTTGCACGTGGCACGTGCATTAGGGGTCACCCATACGCATCGAGAATAGCACACTACGTGTAAGAAAGGAAGGAGCTATCCCACACAAAAGACCGCGAGTGAATCAGTCAAGCAGTTGTGGAGATAGAAGCTTTGCAAGGCGCCCCCACGGCGGCCGACTGCTAATATTTAGCAATAATCAGTGTCGCATCCGCACACGGGAGGTATCCCCGTCACCTGTTCGTATACTCTAATGTGGTTGGGTTCAAACCACAGTCGAACCCTGATTTTTTTACGGCTTTTCTTAAAAACGGCACATCGTGCAGTGACGTTCAATGCATCAGTGGAAAGAGCATCAAAAGTTGTATATTATATTAACTTTTCACCTATATATATTACGAACGATAAAAGTTATAGAGGAATAAAGACGCTCCCATTGACTTTCCATGTTAAAAATTTCCATTTTCAAACGAACTTTATTAGAAAAAACGATTTTGCACAGCTTAACGAAGCACAACAGCATATACTATGTTCCTTCCTCAACAACTCTCGAATGTTTGGACGAAATCGTGACACATAATTTTTTACAATGCACGAATGAAAATAGCTCTGCAAAATTGTCCATTCACTTAACATGGGACACAACAAAATTCCAACTTTGACCTCGTGCAAAGAAACGTTCCGAGATTCTGACGGGTAAACGGCGCACACTGGCGTGTACCGGAACGTGTTTGCCATTAAATGCCTGGAAGAAAACCACCCCTTTCTTGGCTCGTTTTTCCGCCATTAGCGATGGCGCAAAAAAAGCCCCAAACCCCCATTGACTTAACATGGGGAAAATGGAAGCGCACGTGCCACGCGCAAAAGAATTCTGAGCGAGTAGCGACCGGTACCAGCAGCTAGATCGCCTCCGCGAGCCCATGCTCTGAAATTTTTACGAAAATCGTTGCAGTTGTTTGGGCAGGTAGCAAGGTGCCCCAATCCGCGGCCAGACATGCAAAACATAGCCCGATGAACGACTGCTCCGGTTGTTTTTCAATAGAAAAACACAATTCTAACGAATAGTGTTTGTCTTTTCAAACAACCTGCGGTTACCGGCATCTGCGATGCCGGGCTCCGCATCGCGGGACCGCAGGTTGTTTGAGCAAGCACCTTTGTAAACGCAGCAAAAACGCCCGCCACCAAACGAGAGGATGAGCCTTGCACGTGCAGACCGGAGTCGGTGTGCTACGGACTGACGTGCACGGCACCCTATTCGTCGGTCTATAGCGGTGTGCCAAATTTGAGTGCAATCGACCCGGCCGTTTTCGAGATCTGGAAGCGACACCCTGCACGTGCGCACGTGCAGCCTAGGCCCCAATTGACTTGTGCACGGCACTCTATTCGCCGGTTTGTAGTGGTGTACCAAATTGGAGCTCAATCGGCCCCGTCAATTTTAAGATCTGGAAGCGACCCCTACACGTGCGCTCGTGGAGCTGCACCCCAACTGTGGCACATGAAAATACATACTAACTGACTTGTGCACGGCACCCTACTAACCAGTCTCTAGCGGTATACCAAATTTGAGCACAGTCGGCCCAGCCGTTCTTGAGATCTGGAAGCGTCAGCCTGCACGTGCGCACGTGCATAACGGGTCCCATCTGACTTGTGCACGGCACCCTACTTACCAGCCTCTAGCGGTGTGCCAACTTTGATCACAATCGGCCCAGCCGTTCTCGAGATCTGGAAGCGTCACCCTGCCCGTGTGCACGTGCAGCGGCACCCCAACCGTGACACATGGAAATGCATTGCGCGGCAGGTGCCTACAACCATGCCAAGTATCAGCGCAATCGGCAAACTAACTACAGAGTTATTAGACTTGTTACCGAACTGACACCTCTTCGTTTTGCACGTGGCACGTGCATTAGGGGTCACCCATACGCATCGAAAACAGCACACTACGTGTAAGAAAGGAAGAAGCTATCCCACACAAAAGACCGCGAGTGAATCGGTCCAGTGGTTGCAGAGATATAAGGTGTGTAAAGGCACCCCACAGGCGGCCTACTGCTAATATTTAGCAATAATCAGTGTCGCATCCGCACACGGGAGGTATCGCCGTCACCTGTTCGTATACTCTAATGTGGTTGGGTTCAAGTCACAGTCGAGCCCTGATTTTTTACAGCTTTTCTTAAAAACGGCACATCGTGCAGTGACGTCCTATGCATCAGTGGAAAGAGCATCAAAAGTTGTATATTATATTAACTTTTCACCTATATATCTTACTAAAGCTAAAAGTTATAGAGGAATAAAGACGCTCCCATTGACTTTCCATGTTAAAAATTTTCATTTTCAAACGAACTTTATTAGAAAAAACGATTTCTGCCAGCTTAACGAAGCATACCAGCAAGTACTATGCTCTTTTCTCTACAAGATATAAGAGTTTGGGTGAAATCTATCTCTAAAATTTTGTACAAAGATCGAATGAAAATGTC